GGCCACTTGCAGAATTCTGACTCGGGTTACAGTGCCGTTCCTCTAGGGCAGTGAGGCGCCCGGGCTTAGCGTGAGTCTGAACAAGGCAAAGGCCTCCCTCGAACAAGCCGTGTGTACATGGTGTTGATACGCGATTTGTTCCACAGGAACCGCTATGACTCGTAGGCCGTCCTGGGTGGAGCGTACGAACTCTGTGACCAGGAAGCAACAGGAAATTTTAATTTCCCTCCCCATAACCAGAGACTCTGAGTCACTGGGGACAGTGTTCTGTTATAAAAGTACGTCTCGTTTCGCCGAGACACAAGTGTTTGAATTGCTTGTGGGCCGGGTATTTCCTGCAGGAAGGACCCAGGGAGGGAGGGGCGGTGCTGAGCTTCTCTGAAGGCGGCGTCCAGGGACTTACCTGTGGGTTTGTGTACAGAGCAGGCGAGATCCAAGAAGGGTCTGCCAGCCACTCTCCCTCCCAGGCCACGCAGGGCTCCGCCCCCACTGTGACCCTTTCTAACACAGGCCGGGCAGTCCCGCCTGTGCCTCCACCCCCATCCCCACTGGGCCGCAGGTGCGGGGGGAGGGCAGGGAGGGCCTGTGCTGGGGGCTCAGCTACTGTGGTGAACGGGATGAAGGAACCCTCCCCCGATGTGGGGTGTGAGTGGGAAGTGCCCCAAACCGCCCCAATCACATTCCCTTTCCCCTCCGTGTTGGTGGTGACATTTTAACGGCTTGTGACATCTGTCCTCAATGAGAGTCTGCTCCGTAGGGGCCTGCAGGACGCAGCAGCCGAGAGGTGACTGGCAGACAGAAAGGGTCTCTGTGAGGAGCCGTTTCCAAAAGCCTCACAGCTCGGCACTGGGCGGGCGGGTGGGTCCCGAGTCGCCAGTTTTCGGTTGGATCCCGGTTGGATCCCGGTTGGGGCACGTGCAGGAAGCCACCGCTGGGTGCAGGGGAAGGGGATCCACAAGTCAGCACTCTGTCTCTCTCTCTCTCTTTCAAAATCAATTTTTCAAACAGCATTGTGTGAATTCAACATTTACAGAAACACAGGGCCTCACGGTTCAAGAACCTGGTCACAGAGCAACAACTCACGGCCACTGACAGCCCGAGTTTGACCCTCTGCAGATCACAAATGGGGAGCTCAGGGGTGGGCGGAGGGGTCCCCACTCAGAGCCGACAGCCGACAGTGACGAGGCGAAGCTACAAGGGCCCGTCTTCAGTCGGGGGGGGGGCGCCCGGCCACCAGTGTGGGACGTCCCCACGAGGCACCTGCCACCCAGCAAGGGCATCGCAGTGGGGTGCAGAAGACCGGGGACCAGCAGCCTGGGTGACAGCGACACTGCTGGCACCTGGTGGCCCCTCTGCAGGTCAGCAGAAGGCTGCGACAGGCGTTCTGTGGAGACTCATCTGTGACAGGTGACACTCTGCAGGCCGGGCTGTGTGCCCGGGTCTCCCCGGGCCTTTGCCCCTGGGAGTTCCTGGTTTCCTGGGATGCGCCACCGCCGCACCCTTCCCCGCCCCGGGTGGGTGGGGAGAGGTGGGTCCCACCTGGTCGGCTGTCTGCCTTCCGTGACACTTCAGCCGTCCACCCAGGTAACGTTATTCCTGGCTCGGTGAGGAGGCAATAAAACCGGCCTCCCGGTCCTTTCTCCAAAGCCGGGCTTCATCGCCGCAAGGCGGTGCTTAAATTTCACTTTGAAGTCTTTCCACTTGAACGCTGGCACTTACCAGGGTCTGATGGCGGTGATAAGGTCACTCTGTTCTGAAGCTGGAAGCGGCACCCTGGGCTCCTGGCGCCGGGGGAGGAGAGGCACCCTCATCGCGATGCAGCCCTGGCAGCTCGTCTCCCGGCTCTGCGGGTCCGAAGCCAGACCCATTCCTAGAAAATATGGCCAAGAAGTCGACTGGCCCAGGAGAAACCGGCCACCCCAATCCTCGTGCTCCTGCCCCCACTCCTCCTTGAAGCCAAAAACTGGAGATGGAAGCCAGTCTCCGGGGAGAGCAGCCCCTTGTTTGTGCCCCTGCGTTCTGCCCTGCCTCACCTTTGACCCTTGTCCTGGTGAGCCCCCCCCCCCATCAGGAGAAACAAGGAGTTAAAGAGGGGATGTGTTAGGTTAATGTTTGGGATTGAATTGTGTTCCTCCCCCAAGGAAGACATGTTGACCTCTGAACCCCCAGGGCCTCAGAATGCGCCCTTCACTGCAGCTGTGAGTGGACAGGATGGGGTCACACTGGAGGGGACGCAAGGGGACTGGTATCCTTATCAGTGGTGGCAGAGAGACAGGCACAAAGGAGACAGCCTGGTGGCGACAGGCGGAGATTGGAGTGGGCGTCAAGCCAAAGGCACCGAGAGCAGCAACGGGTGCAGGCCAGGCGCCAGCTGGGGGAGGGAGCGGCCCTGCCCACCCGAGCACTCCCGGTGGGCAGTCCCGCTCAGAGCGGCTCCGGAAGGCACACACAGGGCGACCCCGGCTGCACTGAGCGTCTTTCCCGGTGAAAAGCCATGCTGTCCACACGCAGGCCGGCTCTCTGGAAGAACCACAGAAGGAGCAGGGCGCAGGTCGGAGGGGGGCGGCCGTCCACCCGGGTCAGGCCACGCCCAACCGTGTCTTTCAGAGTCTCCTTCCTCCATAAAATCCAGACAATGTGATGAGTTCGTTCTCCTGGCGTCGACTGGCAAACGTCCTGAGGCAGCTCTGAGCTGTTGACTCCTGATGCCAGTCACGCATAGAGAGGCTACCAGTCCGTTCAGGCCTGGTCCACCCTCAGCCAGACCAGGCCACATAGCCCAGCGCTGGCCGGAGGGTGTCTGTGTTAGCCACCGGGGCCACCGTACAGAGGACAACAGACCGCACAGCTTCAGACAACCACATCCCTTCCCTCCTCACAGTTGTAGTGACCACAAGGCCAAGGTCAGGGCCGGGCAGGACCATGCTCCCTCTGCAGGCTCAGGGGGACAATAGTCCCTGCCTCTGCGTAGCTCCGAGGGACCAGCAGTCTCCGCTTGTAGACCCATCGCCCCAAGGTCTGGCTCCGTCTCTTCTCCTCTTGGGAGACCGCAGCCCTGATGGGTTGGGGCTCGTCCTACCCGAGGCTGAGCCCATCTTAACCAATCACATCTGCAAAGTCCCCATTTCCAAATAAAGTCACGTCATTCATGGGTAGCGAGCACCAGGACTTCAATAACATCTCTTTTTGGAGGACACGACAGTGTCCTTTGTGATCGCTATCCAAGGCTCCAAGTGTCCCCACCAGCCCATTGCCACCCCCTTACCAGCGGGAAGCCCCCCCAGCTGCTGCCACTGTGCGTCCTGCGGTTCCCAGAGCACCCCGAGTCTCCTGTGAGTGCTCACACCCCAAGAAGTGCTCCAGAGCCTGACCCCTGGCTCCTCCCACTGCCCACACACAGTGCACGACCTTCTGACACACTGACACCGCCACACAAACGTCGCTGTCCCTTGCAGCGACGAGGGAAAGCTCAGGCTCTGGTCTGAGCGCTGTGGAGAGCTGGTGGGAGACGGTGAGAGGAGCGCTCAGCCCTGGGACAGGTGCCTAAAATCCTCCGCACTCTGTCTAGTCATGCCTCCCGCCCCCCACAACCCCTGATGCCTGCACTGTCTCCACAGGTCGGCCTCGTCCGCAGTGTCACGGAGTCGGGCCCCTAGAGCAGCCACCACAGACCGGCTTCCCCCCCTTAGTCACATGCACGCCAGGCTCCTCCGCGTCTCTTCCTGACTCGGTGGCCCGTTTCTTTCCGTTGCTCCATAATCCCTGCTCCCCCCACCCCCCACCCCGTCTGGACGGAGGGCAGGGTGCTCGTCCAAGTCTTGGTGACTGTGAACAAAACTGTTCTGAACTGGAATCGCAGCGGGTGAAAACCTCCACTTCTCAGTGCAGGTTTTTCTGCGTGGCTGTGAGTTTTCAGCATCTTTGAGTAAATACCAAGGAACGAGACTGCCGGACCTTGTGGTCAGAGGGCATTTGGTTTTGGAAGGACCCGCCTACCCTGGCTTCCAGACTGGCTGCTCCATGTTGCACCCCAGCAGCGGCGGGTGAGGGTCCCAGAGCCTGGGCGAGGCTCACTGAGGAGGCCCGTCCTGGCGGGGGCGCTGTGCGGGCAGGTCACCCAGGGAATGTCTAGGAAGGCAGAAGGGAAAGTGAGTCGGGACCGGGCCCAGCTAGAGGCGGGCATCCATACACAATTCTCCTTGTTTCTTGGAACGACAGCACTGGTTCCTCTGCAAACTGAGTGTCTTCTTCTTCCTCTTTGTTAGTTCTTGTTATTCGAACAACTGGTCACTTAAAAAACGACACGCCGAAGCAAGCAACAACCCTGATCTCTTCCTGTGCCATGCATGTTAATGTCGTTCCCAAAAATGCATTTACATTCTTGTCTGTGAGCAAGTCAGTTTTGGAAACGACCCCCGTCTTCCTCCTCCTCTTCTTCTCTGGCTGGGAATTTCGCACTTTTTTCCAGGGAGAGAGCGCCGTGAAACCCCCAGCTAGAAAGGTTAAGGGCCATTCGCTGTATTATCGCAAAGCTGGCAGGTTCATTGCCTCGCGTGGAATAAACATCACACAGGACGTGGGGACAAAGAACAGCGTGTGCGGTGGCGGCCCGTTAAAGTAGCAGAGCTTCCGAGCAGCGCCGACGTCCGCTGCCGGCGCGCCTCCCAGTAAACGGGGGCCGACGCACTGCACCTCACCAGTCAGACCGCGGCCATCCGTCCCCTGCTGCCCGGGAGCTGCGGGTCCCGGAGTAACGGTAATACGAACTAACCTGCCCCGCGCAGTGACGACTCACACACACTAACCTCCGCCCTGGCGTCGAGGCCGCCCTTCACCAAAGGGCCCCGCGGGGATGGCGCCAGCCTCCTTGGCCTCCAGGCTCCCAGGGCCCCAGGGGCGGGGCGGGGCAGGGCTGGAGGGGTGTGGCTGGTGGGGCGGGGCGTCGGCGCCGGCCAATCCCGAGCCGGAGCGCCTCCCCCGCCCGTCCCGGGGTCCCCTATAATCGCCGTGCCCCGCGGGGCTCCTGCGGGACCCCGGCAGCTCCCCGATTCCCACGCGGAGCCAGCCCGCACTGATCCTGGACCCCGAGCCCGAGCCCGAGTCAGAGCCCGATTCGGATCTGGACCCTGACCCCAACCCTGACTCCGACTCTGCTCCTGACCTGAACCCCGACCCAGACCCCGCGACCCGCATCTGGAACCGTGAGCCTAGTCCGGACCCCAGTGGAGATTCCCGCGGGTGAGTGCGTCGGTCCGGGCGTCCGGCACCCGAACGGGGGTCCCGAGGTGAGGGGCGGCACTGGGTGGACCCGCAGCCCCCTGGCCGCTGTCCCGGTTTGTGCCCCTCTGTGGCCCCCAGAGAGTTCAGGAGCCTCCTCCCGGCCCTCGCCTCCCCTGCTGTGCCTGTCCCGCCCCGCGGCCCCTGCGCCCTGAGGACAGTGCCGGCCCTCCCTCCTCTGGCCCTGGACGCAGGTGCAGCCTGTTTCCGGAGCGCGGCTCTGGAAGTGGCCTGAGACTCAGCGGGGACCTGGAGGTGGGCCTCCCCCCCCCCCCAGGCCTCCTTTGCCCGTTTCCTGCGCTGTTGGGTTGCGCTGGGGAAACCTCAGGATGGGGGAGGGGCTGCCCCTGCGGGGCAGCAATGCCCAGAAGGGCTGGAGCCCCCACTGAAGTATGGGGGTGCTGGTGTGGGACCCGTTTGTGGGGGAGGTTGACATAGGTGACAAATGATATCTGAACATTCGAGCACAAAGTTGGTGTTTCCTCTGCTGTGAGGCCGGTCAAAGGTCCCTTTTCCTCTCGGAAAATAAGGCTGCCGCACAAAACCGGGGAGCCTCTGTGCAAGGGGGGGGGGAGTGTTGAGTGCTGCCAAGGCTTTCCCAGGGGACTGTCTGCGCGGCCGGGCCTTTCAGGCACTGCCAAGGGACAGCTGGGAGGCCTGGACGCAGGCCCCTTGCTGTGGAGCCTCTGCCAGAAAAGTGACAGGAGACGAAAAGTGACCAAAGGCAGCGGAGGTGGGGAGCAGACCAGGCCAGTCCTTCTAGAAGAGGCGGCCAGGTCAGGGCAGGGCAGCCCCACCCTGGGGGTGTCCTACTGGAGGGGCAGGTATGTGCGCGCTGGCTGGGCCACCGCCTGACAAAAGTTCACTTGAAGCCGCACACACCCTCCCCTCTGCCAGTCCAGTCCTCTCGGACTTCACAGGGATTTCCCGGTGGCTTAGGCGCCTGGGGACTCGAGGACACAAGAGGCCCCAGCCACTGGCAGAGCTGGGTTTGGTAAGCAAAGTCAGGTCTCAGACTCTGGCTGGTGGGCAGGTGTGAGATCCAGGACAGGGACCCCAGAGGCGGGGCCCTGGGTCAGGAGGCACCGTGCCAGGGCTCCTGTGTGGCCCCAGAGTGGAGAGCGGCTTCTCAGAGGAAGCTGCCTGCCCAGGACCCTTCCCCTGGCCTCTGGCCTGGCGCCTGCTCTGCTCCCGAAGGGGATGAGAGACATGGGCCTGAATCTCCAGAGGTGCGAGGCCCCAGAGACCAGGGCGGGGCTGGGTGGCTGGTCTGCCTGCCAAGGCCAGGAGGGGCCTGCTCCCCTGTGGCCCTCCCCACTTTAGCCCTGACTCTCTCTGGGGCATCTTTCTAGCCACGCACGCCACCCAGACAAGCCCCGGGGAGGGTCTGTGTTTCCTTTCTCCTGGAAACTCAGTGCCGGTGTGGAGACACTCGCTGCCAGCTTGGAAGAGCACAGACCGCCCAGTGCCCAGGGTGGTCAGTGGTTCTGCTCCTGTGGCTGGGAGAGCTCCGTGGTCAGGGCTCAGGCTGGGAAGCGTGGCTGCCCATTCTCACACACGCGTGTGTTTGGTCTGCACCCAGAGGTCTGTCGAAAGGCCTTGGGGGTGTTTTCCTGCCAGTGGGTGCACCAGAGTAACCCGGCAGAAACCCTGGAGGGGTGGCGGGGGTACAACACAGACGTTGTCTGTCGCTGCCCAAACGCTCCCCTGGCGGCGAGCAGGGCTGACTGTCTACAGCACAAGGGGCCACGTCTGGCCGGAGTCTCCGAGCTCTCTGGGCGGTGGGTTCCCACCGGGAGCTGAGATTCAGCGCTTGTGTGACCCATCACCCTTCAGACGCCACCCGCCCGGCACTCTGCACCTGACAGGAGGTTGTAGTTGTCACTCACAAAAGTGCCATGGTCACCAGACTTAGCTCTCCTTCCATCCTGTTGCACGTGTGACATGGCCCTGGGCACCCAGTGGGGTTTTGGCCTGGGGAGCAAGGAGGGTCACACGTCTGCCCCTCCCAGGAACCACTGCCGCGCCCCACCCCTGGCTCAGCCCCCACCAGGCGCCACACCTGCCAATGTCGGCACCGGAAGCCTGGCCGCAGGCACGTGGGAGCTGGCCAGGCTGAGACAGGACGTGGTTCTGAGCCAGCAGAGAGTGTCAGTCGCAGCCACCACAGTCCATGGCCAGGCCCTGGAGTGGGGGCACTTGGGTAGCAGCCCTGCAAGGCTCACAGGACCCGCAAGTGGTTGTGACTGGACTTGACTGAACTGTCACCATCCTGCTGACGGCACCTCGTGAGGCCCTGCCGAGGTCCCTGACCTTGGGACAGCACACCAGCTGCACTGTACCCCTTCCCCGGGGGCCCAGCCCTGGTCCACGGAGGGCAGGTGTCCTCCTCCCACTGCCCACCCGCCCGCACCCCTCCCAGAGGCTGTGCCTGGTGCCAGTCACAGGGTAGACCAGTCCCCAGTGAGAGGTGCTCCACCTGCCACCCGCCCCCTGGGCCTCCCGTCCCTCCCTCCTCAGGCCTGGGTGGACCCTCACTGCCACCTGCCACCGAGGTGGCAGATCCTTCATCCAGATGTGCCTGGTAAGGGGACCTCAGCCTCCCAAGAGTTTGCTCGCTGCTCGCCCCTGGGGCTCTTCCTGTAAGAGGGGCCGCCAGCCTGAAGATGGGTGCCTGGTCCCATCTCCGCGGGACCAGGACACGTGCTGGATCTGCAACCAGGAAGCAGGGTCAGGCAGGGGACACGGGACGACTGGTCACCACGCTGCCACCTCCTCCCCCGTGACCGGCTTTGTTGTCACTGGCACTAGTGAAATGTCATGAATGGTGGTGTGTATGTGCTTTTAAAAGTTGAACCCGATAGCGCTGGCCTGAAGTTCAAATGCGTTTTAAGTCATTCTTGAGTCCTTGCCATGAGCACCGACTTGGTCCGGTCATCTCTCTGAGGCTGCCGGGAAGGCAGAGGGCTCCCGCGAGGCTCTCCTCCTCGTTTGCAGAGGGACCGGTCCCCGCTCATGTGTGGCCGCACTGTGGGCCGCACAGCTGCTCCCGGGGGGTGCTCTGAGTGGAGAGCCGGTGTCCAGGGCTTGCTGAGTGAGGCTCACACACACTTAGCAGAGGAAGGATAGCGGGGGGTTGGGGTGTCAGAGCCAGGACACCCGTGGGTGCTGGGTGGGTGCAGACTGAGCTCAGGAAGTAGAAGTGGGCCGGACAGGGCAGTGTGGCCCCAAAACTCAGCATGCCCTCCCCACGGAGCTCCCCGCTCTGTGCCCCTGACGCCTAGAAAGCCACGTCCAGGCTTTCATTTCACAGACTGAGGATGGACCCCACAGGCAGGGGTCCATCCCAGCGCCCAGCTGGGAGCTGGCTCTTCAGCTGGCGGCAAAGGGCCAGCTGGGCAGGAGCTGGGATGTCCCTTCTGGGCATCAGTGGGGAAGGAGCTGCCTCAGGCCTGGGCCCTGCTGGCTGTGTTGACACCTGTCCGGTGGGGGCTGTACTGTGCATTCTTCTGGCTGCTCAGACGCAGCCCCCCCTTCGGCACAGTTCAGGCTGCACGTTCCCAGTGTAAGTCCAGAAAGCCAGGCTGGCCCCTTCTGCCAGATGGTCCCCCATCAGTTCTCTGTGGCCCCAGCTGCTGCCGGCTGGGGACACCCCTGCCCTGCACACCCCCTGGAGGGGCACACCCAGAACCCCTCCTGTCTGGAGCCTGCAAGGCCCCTGAGGACCCAGGACCTGGAGAAGCTAACTGACCCACCCAAGTTCAACTGCTTATGAGTGGCCGGTTGGGACGCAGGTCACCGTAGAATGCAGACCTGTCTTAAGAGTGTCCCACACGGAACACCAAGCACTGAGGGGCACTGTCCAGGTCACAGCACAACACCACACTGCATGGCACAGTGAAACAGAGAAACTCGGGTTCGTTCTACCCTCCAGCAAGAGGGGTCCCGCCCCCAGAGCCTGCCGGTGCCAGAGCCGGCTCCCTGGAAGCGGAGAGGACGGGCAGTCACGGAGAGCAGCTCTCCGTCCGGCTGGCAGTTCGGAGAGCTCCTCCGAAGGTCTAGGTTAGGCTTGCTCCACTGCAGACAGACCTGCAGCTCACGGTCTCCAGAGAGTCCAAGGCTTCAGGGGCCTCCGGCCCCATGGTTTTCTCACTGCAAATATCTAAGAACCCATTGGAGTTTCTGCAGAGATGAAGTCGGTCCTGGTCAACATCTCTAGGGTACTGCTGTGACCTTAACCAAATACATATTTTGGTCCAGGAAACCTGAGTCACCTTGTAAAAGTTAGACAAATGAGTAAACTTGGCAGGATCCGTGACGTGCTTCCCAGTGATGTCACCAGATGGAGTTGGCCGTGGCCACATGTAATGCCAAATGTATTGGCTCACTGCCATTGTGCTTCTCTGCAGGCTGGGAGGAGGGGAGCTACCTGTGATGGCCATGACCTTGAGCTCTGACCACTGCGGGCCTTAGGAACCTGACTGGATATTGGGGTGTCTGTCCAAGTCAAGTCTGCCTTTGTCCACCTTTCCTTTGGCCACGTCTGCCTCACTGAGAGGCGCTGTGGGGGTCGCCCTAGTGGTGGCCTCTAACTGGGCCAGGTATCTATCCATCTGTTGGGTCTTTATCAAGAACTTGCTTCGGCCAAAGTGCTTATCACAGCCGTGGGGGACGCAAGCACGGGATGGAGAAGCTGGCTGTGGGTGTGCTTCCATCTGTCTCGTGACGGGTCGTGGTCAAGAGACTGGAGAGGCCACTCGGCCCAGCTGCGTGTCGCTGGAGAGGGGCCACGGAGTGCCGTTTGGGCTTGAGACAAAAGCGGACGGCTGGCCACCCTGATCCGCACTAGCGGCAGCCCTGGCGGAGAGCTGGCCCGTGGGAGGTGCCAAGGCAGGTCTGCGTGGCTGGTGAGGGCACCGCAGCGGCGACTGGGGCGCAGCTGCCGGCATTCCCGTCCGGCAGGGCAGGGGAGGGAGGCGTGGGGTTTTCTGGTTCGCTCTGCTCCCAGTACGGCCCGTGACCCCAGTTCAGCACTTCCACTCCGTGGGCACCCGCGGGGCCCACGTGTCTGGCTGCAGCGCTGGGCCCTGAGGTGTGGTCCCTGGGCAGTGATGGTAGAGCCACCAGAAGGTCCTTGGAAGTTCAGACTTGGGCCACTCAGAGCCGCTGGGCCCACCCTGAGTCACTGTGTCACTGTGAGCCCTCAGGTGACAAAGGTGCACTCAGTGTAGGGGACACCTCGCTGGGGTGGGGCTGCTGAAGAGGCCAGATGTGGGCCATGCTGCCTGCCCAGAGAGGACCACGAGGTGCTGAGAAGTCCCCTGGAGGCAGAGCAGGGACATGTGGGGGCTGGGGTCCCCGGGGAGCCCCTGGAGGAGCCCCAAGGGGACAGAGAAGCTGTAGACGGGAGGCAGAGAGGGGGGCATCTGGGGAGAGCAGCCGAGCTGCACTGCTGGGCTCAGCGAGCACGGTCTGGGGGTGCTCACTCCCGCCTGTCCCTGCGTCAGGGGCACCGCCCCCCCGCAGCAGGCCCCAGCCTCGCAGTTCCAAGGGGGCTCACCGTAAGGCAGCGGCCTCGAAGAGAACCTTGGTCGCCGAGAGGTTCTGTCAGTGACCAGGAAGAGAACCAGGGTCGTGCCTGCCTTTTTCCACCGAGTCCTGAGCAGTCCGCCGCACACGGCCCTGACGACCACCCTTTGTGGTTCGCAGAGCCCCTTCCCCACGGAACCCGGCAGAGAGGCGCAGGCGCACTGACACCAGCCGGGCCTCCCGACTCGGCTCGGGAGGGCAGGTGCGGGCTTCCCAAGGACCCAGGTTCCAGCAAACGGGAGTAGGCCTGGTAGAGCCTTGGGTGGAAGCCGGGAGACCTGTGTTCCGGGGTCAGCTCTGAGCCTGTTTTAAGTCTGTAAGGACAGCCCTCCCAGCGAGTGGCTGAGAACCATGCTGGCCAATGTTCCAGCCGTGGGGCGGACACTTTTAACTCTGCCGGGCACATACCGTAGGCCCGGACCTGCCAGGTCGGTGGGGAAGCAGCCGTGAGACGCCATGAAACCTCCTTCCAGTGGAGGGAGGCAGAAAACGGGGAAACGTGTCCAGCTGCACTCGGCACTGGGGAGGCGGAAGGGACCGAGCGTCAGGGCAGGCTGGTTTCCGGAGGTAGCCAGCGGCCAAGCCCGGCAGAGGTGCCAGAGGGAGCTCCGGTGCAGCCCAGCACATGCAGAGGTCCTGGGGCCGCAGCAGGCGCGAGGTGATCGCCCCGGGGAAGCAAGGCAGTGGCGGAGGAGGTGGAACCTCTGGGAGCCCGCTGCAGAAGTCCAGGCTGGACAGCGGCGGGCCGAGCCGGGTCGGGGAGGCAGGAACAGGGCGGACCGGTGCCGGCGTGTGGGGATGAGCAAGCTGCCTGGACTTGGGCGGGAGAGGAGGAGAGACAAGGGGCTTGTGCGATTGTGTCCTGAGCGGAGGGCAGGGTGGACCGTCTTTGCTGAGGGGCTGTTTTGGTTTCCACTTACTACAACAGCACCCACAGCCTGTCACTGGGCTCAGAAACATCTCCTGGATGGAGCAAGCGGTGCCCCCTGCTGAGTCCCGGCTGGCCTGGAGGACCAGCTCAGCTGACCCCGGTGCCCCTGTCCTCTCCCTCCCAGTCCCCTGTCAGTCGGAGCCTGGGCCCCACTTCCACCTGAAACAGCCCCAAGTGGCCGCAGCTGCAGGGGGCCTCCCCTCAAGGGGCCCGGGCGGGTGGGAGGCCCTGTGTGTAGAGCACTTAAAAGTAGGAATAAAGTGCACCAAAGGCCAGTCTGCTCCGTGCGGTGGCCGTAGCGATCGCGAGCCCTGGGGACGATGGGACAGCACCCCAGCCGGACGGGTCCCCCAGGCTGGGAGACCCTGTCTCAGCCTCGTTCCTGAAGGCAGCTCTGCTGGAGCTCATGGGGGCCAGGGGTGCTGTGCCACATGCCGCCACCCAACCCACGAGGCAGCGGTCACGGCCTCCCTCCACAGCCCAGGCCACCCAGCTGCCAGGGCCGCAGCCTCTTTTGCCAAAACCCACTTTACTTCCCAAAGTGGGTCTTTGCCCTAAGCTCCGGGCCCCTGTGAGTCGGGGTAGCAGAACGGCGCCGGGCCCCGAGGGGTGTTCACGGTCTGTGTGTGCTGAGAAGAGAGACTGTCACATGCCCTGTTTTGAGGGCCGGTGGCACTGAGGGCAGGTAAGCTCTCCTGCAGCTGAGGTGTGAGAGGGGCGGGATCTCGGGGGATTTGTCCGTCTGTCCTTCCCACAGTTAACTGCCTCCTTCTGGGCGGGCACCTTGAAACCCTAATTAACAGGGTGGTGGTGAGGCCAGTGTTCACGCGGGGCGGAGGCGTGCAGGCAGGAATCCCAAGAATCTGCTGAGCAGCGGAGCTGAGAGGGGAAGGAGCCGAGAGGGCCGGGAGGCGGGGGCGGCTGCCCTGCTGTACCGACCGGCTCCCCCCTTCCCTTTGCCCACAACCCCCTCCTGCGGTCCAGCAACCAAGAGGCCGGTCCCGACACGGCCGGATCTGGGGTGCTCTGCCATCCCAGCCACCAGAGCTGGCACCAGGCCGGGGGTGCGCCCCGAGTCACCCCACCCTGAGCAGTGGTGTCCTTCAGACAGGGGCCCGGCTGCCAAGCCTCAGCGTCTCGTGCCAGCTGTGCGGGAGAGGACACGGCCCAGTCCACTGGCATCGAGGTGGCGCCAGCCACAGACACGCACAGCGAGGTCTGCACTGGAGCCGCTTCGCTGGGGGAGGAGCCACGCGCTGCCCCGCTCGCCTCGGTCAGCGGCTGAGCAGCGAGCGGCCGTGCCCGCGGGCCGTTCCCTTGGCCCCGAAACAGACGCCACGCCCTGTGCGCCGTCCGCTGCAGCCCGGGCCGCCGCTCTGCCTGTGGGCGCTGCCTTTTCTGGACGTTTCGTGGCCCACAGGAAACGCGCAGGGTGGCCGGCCCCTCCCTGGTGGGCGCCCTGCTCCGTCTGTCCCTCCGCTGAGCGGCGCCCCTGCTTGTCCTGTGAGCCCAGACGTAGCCGGCTGGCGTTTCCACAGCTTCAGTTCGAGACATCCCGCCACTCTGTCCTCACCGTAAGGAGCGGTCACTGTGGTCCTTCTAACAGGAGCACTGGCGACCCTCAGTCAGCGGGCCACAGGCCGCCGAGCCAGTGAGTCGGGCAACTGGGAGCCCGGGGGCTGGGACACCACCAGCCCTGGGGTCTGTCCACTGGGCTGCTTTGCCTTTGCCAGAGTTGTGGCATTGCCGGCTAAGGGGCCACAGGTGCATCCTGAGAAGAGTAGCTTGGTGTTCTCTCTGGAGAGGTGGGGACGGGGCTGCAGCCCAGGAGGATCCCCAAATCCAAGCGGGGCAGGGGCAGGTGGTGTGGGCAGACAGGGCCGGGGAGGTTTGCGCCCCTTCTAACCCACAGGTCAGACAGCAGGGGCACCCCACGTGTCCCCGGGAGTGTCCATGCTCAGCCTCTGGCAGCCAGCTCTCAGGGCCGGGCGGGTGGGGCCATAACAGGGTCGTCCTTAGTTCCTATTGCTGAGGGGACTCAGCAGCCTGTGAGGGCCTGTGTTTGGGCACCGGTGTGGCCTGTGCTGTGACGTGTTTGCTGTGACCATGCCCAGGAGGCTGAGTGTGGGCTGGGGGTTCTCCCACCCCCTTTCATCTCCTCGGGGAGCCTCAGCAGTGCCCCTGGTCCTGGCACCCTTATCCAGGGCTTCAGCGTGGCCCCTTGTCCTGGTCCCCGGAGAGAGGGAGGTGGCTCTCCCGCGAGGGAGTGACTCCGCGGCAGGTGGAAGGCCCGTCCCCGACGCTGTTTATCTGCATTCCGGTCGCCCTGCTTGGTCCCAGCCTGTCCCAGCCCCGGACCTGGTCCTGGCGCAGGGCGGGAGGGAGCCTGGCCACCACTGCTGCCTCCTTCCCAGGCCAAGAGCTCCCCAAGGTGCCCCTCCAAGGGGAGCCTGCAGCCGGGTGAGTCTGGGGTGCAGTGCGCCCCAGCTGTGGTGGGTGGAGGGGTGGGCCTGGCGTGTGCCCGCTCACGGGGCCCCGCCCTCTGGGTGGTGAGCCGGTGGGGGCCCCTCCCTGGCCGCCCTGACCATTCTCTCCTGCAGGAGACCCATCCCGAGGACACCGGGAACTGCCATGACCGTGGAGCACAGGGACGTCCTGGTGCTGCTGCCCACACGGGAGCAGCTGCGGCTGGTCGTGGGGGTGAGTGCCAAGGAGAGCGGGGTGACCGCGAGGGGAGCGGGGTGGGTGGAGGACAGCAGGAGCTGTGGGGACCGCCGCCCTTCCCCTCCCACAGGACCGACATGTCCCTTGCCGGCACTGCTGGCCACCTTGTACGGCGTTTGCTCCCCTCTCGCTCTGCAGCCGCAGCTGTGGCCGGGCCCACCAGTCCCCACAGTGTCCGGTGTCCTGGGGCTGAGCGCCGACCGGTCCCCACAGAGCTGGGCATCTTCCTGGGTTAATTTTGCTCCAAGGGACCCACCCCGTCTGGGCCCTCGTCCTGTGGTCGGTCTGGGGGTGGGGCGGGCCCGAGGGCGGCTGTGTCCCTCCTGGAGGCAAAGGTGAGGGGCACCTGACAGTCAGATTCTCGGGGACTGAGGGCCGCCGAGCCTCCTGCCGGAGAGACAGGGCACGGACCCGCCCTCCGCCGAAGGAGCTCTGGGAACTGAGCGGCTGCACGCGCCCCCGCCGCCTGCGTCCTTCTCTCTCATTCCCCACCATCCACTTTCGGCTCCTCCAGTGGCCGAGTTTTCCCTCCAGGTGTCAGAAACCTCAGCCGCACCTGAGTCTTCCAGGAGGCGACTTTCACCAACCCACCACCCCTCCCCCTCCCCCACCGGGCACGCGCACGCACACACACACACACACACACACACACAGAGCGCCTGCCCTCTGAGGCCACTGGCGGGCTGGGCCCCTGGACGGCTGGGGGAGGGGCCTGCCACGTGGCTCAGGCCGTCCTTTCAGGAGGGACGTGAATCAGTAACTCATCGGCTCCTGGACTCAGCACCCGCGGGAGACACCCCACCGGCAACCCCCCAGGCATCCGGCTGCCGAAGTTAACGTCTGCGATCAGTAACCCGGAGGCCGCTGCCTGTCTGAGGACCCTGTCCAGGCACAGCGCCCTACAGACCTGGCCTCTCCCGCTGAGCTCACCCTCACGTGCCCCCCCAGCTACTGCCTCCCTGCCCCCAGGGGTGGATCGGCTCCCCAGCCCAACAGTCTTGTTCGGGGGACCCGTTCTCCCTCCCACCACCACCACTGGTGAAGTGCCTCTAACCTGCCAGGCTCCGGCTTGGCCCAAAGTCCTCCGGGACGAGGCGCGGAGCCCATGGGGCGCAGACGCCACTGCGCCAGCTGTCCTCTTGGGGGCCTGCTGGGCGGGCCTCTCGAGTCGCCCAAAGGACCAGTGGGTCCCAGCTGGCGTTCCTTTGGTCGGGGAGCGTGGTCCTTTCCACTTTTATAGGTCATCTCAGTGGAAGGCGCAGTAGCTTTCCGTTCACGCGACCTGCCGATCTTGGCGCTTCGCAGCACCCCCCCCTCAGCTGCGGACGGGCTGGCCGCGCCCCGTAGATGGTCCTGTCTGCACCGTCCGCCACCCAGGGCGGCTCCTTCCTCACTCGGAGGTGCCCACACTCCACCTCAGGCTCAGCCTGGTCCCGAGGCCTGTGTTCTCCGCTCCCCAGTGGCTGGACGGGCCCCTGCGGGGGGCTGGGAGGGCCACGCAGGTGTGTGTCTGGGCCCGGGGGTGGCCTGCGGGCCCGTCCCGTGCACCACCTGCAGCACCGGCCGGGGTCTGCACAGGAGGTGGGGACAGGGGCCCACTGCAGCGGGAAAGGGGAGTCCCCGAGGGACCCCCGACGTGAGACGTCTGTTCCGTGCTCAGCACCCCCCTCCCGGGGACTCCGAGAGGAGGGGCAAGGGAGCCGAGTCCCGAGCAGAAACTCCACACACTGTTTGTTTGTCTCGAGCAGCTGCTCGTCCGCAGTTCAGGGAGGATGGACCCGCTCTGTCTGCTTGTTTCAGTTGAGCTGGGAGGAGGAGGAGACCCCAAAAGCTAGCCGGCCCTAGGAGACAGCACTGTCAGTTCAGGGACCAGGGGGTCCATGGAAAGCTTTGGTCAGGGCTGGCCCTGCTCTGAAACGAGGTGCCGCTGTGCCTGGTGGGATTTGTGTGGGTCCCCGGCATCTCCTGTCTGCTCGGGGACACATTTATACCAGCAGCATCCCGTCACCAGGCCGGCCATGCAACTGACGCGGGAGCCGAGGGGCGGGTTCCCAGGTTCCTGGGTCCCCACAGGCGCTGCGAGGCCCTGGAGGGACGGGAAGACGGGGGTCAAGCAGCTCCACCCGGTGCAGAAACAAACTCGGGGAGGCAGCCACGCTGCAGGGAAGAGAAACACGGCCCGCGTGAGAGAGCAGACCGGGACCCAAGAAGGCACTAAGCGAACAGATCAGAAGCCCGTCAGAGGCAGGGTTCAAACGCCGGTGGTCAGGGTGCTCGGGGGGCTCCCTGGTGCAGCAGCAGCAGGAAGGACGACAGACAGGACAGCCACACTCAGTGAAGTCACGAGAAACCCGCCGGGAACCAACAGTGAGGGGAAGGAACCTGGGATGAAAATCATCAGTTTGGAACAAAAGGGGAGAGATAAACCTTCAGCCAGAACAGAAAGAAGAAACAAGAATTTGAAAAAATGAGGAGAGTATAGGAAGATGCTGGGACATCTCCAAGTGCACCACGTTTGGGATCGTAGAGGGGCCAGAGGAAGACAGGAAGAGCAAGACACGGAAAACTTAACAACTTCCCTCATTTGGTGAAGAAAATAGACATACAAGTCCAGGAAGCTCAGAGAGTCCCAAACAAGTTGGACCCAAAGAGGGTCACACCAAGACACTTTGTAATTAAAATGCCAAAGGTTAAAGATAAAATATTTTATTGTAGATTGTATTTATTTATTTATAGAGAGAGGGGAAAGGAAGGAAAAAGGGAGAGAAACATCAATGTGTGGGGATCTGACCCACAACTTAGGCTTGTGCCCTGACTGGGAATCGAACCAGCAGCCCTTAAGTTCACAGGCCTGCACTTAATCCACTGAGCTACATCAGCCAGGGTGATACAGAGAGAATCTTAAAAGCAGCAAGAGCAAAGGAGACAGTTACCCACAAAGGACTTCCCATGGAACTCTAAGATGATTTCTCAAAAGAAACCTTGCAGGAAAGAAGGGGCTGGTAAAAAGTATCGAAAGTCATGAAAGGCAAGGGCCCACATCCAAGATGACTCTACCCAGCAAAGCTAACATTTATGATCGAAGGGCAGATAAAGTGCTTCCCAGACAAGGTCAAGTTCAAGGAGTTCATCATCACCAAGCCCTTAATATATGAAATGTTAAAGGGACTTATCTAAGAAAAAGAAGATAAAAAATATGAATGAACGGTAAAATGTCAACAAACTCATAACCATCAACAACCAAACTTTAAAAAAAAAAACCCAAAACATAAACGAACAAAGCAAACTACTAGAACAGGAACAGAATGACAGAAATGGAGATCACGGGGGGGTTATCAGTGGGGAGGGGTGGGGAGGACGGGGGGGAAAGGTACAGGGAATAAGAAGCACAAATGTTAGGTACAAAATAGACAGGAGCAGGTTAAGAATAGTATGGAAAATGGAGAAGCCAAAGAACTTTTGTGTATGACCCATGGACATGAACTAAGGTGGGGGAATGCTGGTGGGAGGGGGGTCACAGGGCAGAGGGGAGTAAAGGGGAGAAAAAATGGGACAACCATAATAGCATAATCAATAAAATGTACTTTAAAAAAGTTGATATTCGAGACAGCTAAATTTGAACTCAGCATGTTTGATATTAAGAAATGGTTACTTCTGAGTCATTGTGAAACATCGGTGAGCTGATATAACCCGGGGTGGATGATAGATTTACAGGGAGAGAGAGCAGCCCTGCCTGTGCACCCCCACCTGTGCGGAGGGGCTGGGGGGGGCCTGTGGGAGGAAAGCTGGGAGGGGTGGAGGCAGGAAGGCCTGGTGGGAGCGGGGCGGGGGCTTCGCACACCCGCAGGCGGCTGGCTTTCCTCCTGCCTCTGGGAAGCCCTGCCGGGGGCCCACCGGCCCAGCCACAGCCCTAGCTCTCTGGGCCCAGCAGGGCACCACGGTTACCCACTGAGTCTCAGAGGCCGCCCTGCCTCGGCCGGGGAGGGGGAGGCAGGCCTGCCCTGAGGTCCGGCCCCTCGCAGGCTGCCTGCCGGGTTGGGGCCTCCTGGTCTGCAGCAAGGGCAGTCTCCGCGGACCCTGAGCGCTGACTCCTGGGAGGGGTGGCCTGAGCCAGGCCCCGACTCCGTGGTGCCACCCCTCATGGTCCCCACTGTGGGGGCCACAGCGGCAGCTGCACCTGGAGCCGCCCCCGCTCCCTGGCAGGTGCGGGCCACCGCGCGTGAGCTGTTCCAGCTGGTGTGCGACAGGACTGGTGTCAGAGACGCCCACTTCTTTGGCCTCAGTGTGGTCAGAGGTAAGCAAACTCTGCCCCGGGACCCTCAGCCAGGCTCGGCCTCCTCGGGGGGCCGAGTGTGGGGGGTGGGCCGCACAGCCCCAAGCCTCACACCCACTGGCACCAGCCCCAGCCTCTGAGCCCTGCGTGCTGGCCCCGGGCGGCCCTGGCAGTCCCCTGTCCTCCTGCCTGCAGGCAGCCTGGGGCTCTGTGTGTGCACGTGCCACCTCCCAGTGCTGGACACCGAGCTGCCCACCGTGTCCAGGGGCAGGGCTGAGGGAGGCGTCTTAGAAAGAACACACTTTTCCGCACTCCTGAGACTCCGACCCTGAGGCGCAGTGTTGGGGGTGGGCCCGTCTGTCCGACGCAGGCGCGGTTCCCGCTGTGGCGAGCCAGACACCGAGCAGCTCCCAAGTTTGTATTTTGGGAGGACTTGCCCAGTAGCCGAGAGGGGCTGCAGGAAGGGGGGACCACAGGGAGGGCGTCCCCGCAGGTGGTGGCAGCCGCAGGCGTCCGAGTCAGTCTCTGGTCTCTCTGGGCCCTGGCAGCCACCCGGCAGAGCCCACAGCCGCCACCAGACGTCCCGCAGCTCCCGGCTGCCAGGGTGGACCGCACCCCTGCCCCCAGCTCGCCACGTCTCCGCCACCCCCCTTCTCTTTTCAGACAACGAGTATATGTTTATGGATTTGGAGCGGAAGCTCAGCAAATACTTCTCGAAGGACTGGGGCAGAGAGCAGCAGAACGTAAGTCCCAGCCCGCGGTGCGGCGGTCCTGGACCAGCGCAGGGGGGTGCCCTGCTGCCACGCGGGGCCCCCCGTGCCAGGCAGCCCTGGCCAAGGCCCTCGGCCCTTCCTCCTACAGCAGCCGGCCACGCCCCCGAGCTGCCCTACTGCGTGGCCCTGCGCTGCACATGGGGCCAGCTGGGCAGTCGTGGCCGGGGACCCTGGTGCTGCTCACCTGTCGCCATCCCACGGCCCCTCCTCTGCCCACATCCCCACAGGGCGGCGTGAGACCCGGGGCCGCCTTCGTGACCTTCCTGCGGGTGCAGCACTACGTGGAGGACGGGCGGCTGATGCGGTACAGGGCCCGCTGCTGGCAGGCCCGGGGGGCAGTGCCCTGACGGGGGGGGGGGCGGCGTGGGGGGAGGTTTGCAGAGGCAGCTGCACCTGTTCTCCGGGGCGGGGTTTGGGGCAGGAACGGGTGGGCTCCAGGGCCCTGCTTAGCCTGGGGGCTCACTCGCCCTCAGCAGTGGACTTGCAGGTCTCAGCCGGGCAGGAAATGCCCCGCAGCACCTGGGGCTTCCTGCTGAGTTGGGGGGGGGGCGTCAGCAGCTTGTAGGGTGACAGAGCCCCCCAGAGCGATCCGGAGCAGGGGCCGTGGGGGCTGCCAGGCCTTCTGAGATGAAGGGGAGAGGGAGGGCCGGCAGGTTCTGGAGAGGTCCCACAGGGATGGCGGGGGGCCGTGGGGTGCAGACCCCGGGGCTGAGAGGCCAGCCACAGTCAACTGGCTCTTCCCTGAGCCGAGCGTCTCCGCCCCTTACATCAGAAAATACACAGAGGCAGGGTCCGCCTTCAGGAAAGAGCCCCCGTGAGGGGCCATGGGGTGGGCGAAGTCACTGGGAGTGGGGACAGGTGTGTCAGGAGGCAGCGGCCAACAGCACCTGCCCCTGCACCCCCCACCCGGGCAGGTGGCCTGAGGCTTGCCACCAGCACTCCAACACCCGGAGGGCGGGAGGACCAAGAGCGGGGGGAGGGCCAGGGGGACAAGACTGCCCCTCCCTTCCAGGGACCAGGTGGCCAGGCACCTGTACTACTGCCACCTGAAGGAGCGGGTGCTGAGGTCGCAGTGCACCCACCGTGAGGAGGCCTACTTCCTGCTGGCCGCCTACGGGCTGCAGGCCGACCTGGGCAACCACCGGGCCCTGGCCCACGCGGGGCGGTACTTCGAGCCACAGGCTTACTTCCCACCCTGGGTAAGGCCGTGGGGCAGAGCTGGGGGGGCAGCTGGGCGGCAGGAGGGCCTGACCGGCCCGTGCTCGGCTCCCAGGTCATCGCCAAGAGGGGCAGCGCCTACCTGCTCAGGCACGTGCCCGCCCTGCACCGGGAGCAGCGGGGCCTAAGCCCCAAGGAGGCCCTGCTGCGCTTCATCCGGGAGGCCTGCCGGCTGGAGGACGTGCCCATCCACCTCTTCCGGCTGCTCAAGGTCACGCCCAGGGCCAGCAGGGGAGATCGGAGCTCAGGCTGCCTCGGGGTGGCCCCGGGGCCGGCGGGGGGGGGCACCCAATGCCCAGATGAGTGGCCATGGCCCCAGAACTGACCGCAGCCAGAAGCTGAGCGTGGTTTGGAGGGCCGTGCCCTCTGCGTGGCGCTGCTGTGGTCCCCAGCAGGTACCGTCACTCCCTGTGCTGGTGGTGACGAAGGTGGACCCTCCCCCACACTGCAGGGGAGGGACTGCGAGGGGCGGAGCCTGCTGTTACCCTGTGGTGTGGGGTCCTGGGGTTAGGATGTGGCTGGTCAGTGGGGAGTTGGGTCAGAGAAAGGGCAGGAGGCAGGCACGGGGACCGTCTGTCCTCCAGCATCAGAGCGGGAGTGGGAGGGGCCTGGGGGCCCTGCTTGTCCCCGGGACCCCCTCCCCCAGGCCCAAGGCTCCAACCTCTGACATGGGCATCCTTCTAGGACAAGAAGGAAGACAGACCAACCGTCATCCTGGGACTGACCCTCGGAGGGGTGCGCATCTACCAGGTAGCCCCCCCCAAGGGCGGGGCCCCATCCCCAAGGCCGGCCCTGGTGGACGCCCCCTCTGCTGTCCTGCAGGAGGTGGGCCGAGCTCCCCGGCTGCTCTACGACTTCCCCTGGGCCCGCATCGGGAAGCTGGCGTTCCTGGTGGGTGTCTGGGGGTCCCGGTGGGGCAGGGTCTCCACGCCCAGGGGCCTGGCAGGTGCTTGTCCTTCAGGACATCTGCAGGGCACCGGGTCCCCCACTGACCAGCACCCGGGGGTCCCCCGGGGCCAGCTCGTTGTCGCAGGGCGGGGTGTCCTGCTGGCACCCGCAGGCCTGCTGGCTTCTGTGTGGACGCAGTGGAGGGTGCCCAGGGGAATGGCACAGGGGTGCAGCGTGGCATCCGCCCGCCTGCACTGCCACCCCAGGCCAGGCCTGGCCTCGGGGCTGAAGGGTGGGGCGGCCAGGCCAGGCCCCGGCTCTTTCTCTGCCCACAACCCAGGGGAAGAGTCTGCACTTCCCGGAACTGTGCGGTGTGCACCCCACTCTGCTGCACCCCAAACACCCGCCTGCGTGTGGGGTTAGACTTGTGCAGGGCAGCCATGGCCGCTGCCCTGGGTGGGGTGGTGAACGGGTCGAACACGGCCCCCCGTCACCACTCGGTAAAACCGCGTCTTCTCTGCCTCATCCAGGGGAGGAGGTTCCAGATCCGGCCGGACGGGCCGCCCTCGGCCCGGAAGCTGGTGTACTACACGGGCTGCGCCGCCCACGCCCGCCACCTGCTGCGGCTGCTCCGAGCCAGCCACCAGCTGCACCTGGCCCTGCAGCCTGCGGTGGGGCGGCTGCGGCAGCTGGAGCGGGCCCAGGGTGGGCACCGCCTGAGCCCCCGCCCCGTTCTCGCTCTGGACACTGCGGCCGTCGCGCCTCATCATCTTCCAGTTGTGGGGTGCAGCGTCTTGGCTCCAGGGGCCTTTCTGTTGCAGGGCTGCAGTAGCCCCACTCCTCCAGCCCCCCGCAGCCCAGTTGTGAAGGCAGGGCCTGTGGGTTCTGGGGGAGAACGGTGCCCACCAGAGGGCCCAGGGTGTGTGTGTGTGAGCGTGTGCACACATGTGCGTGCCCACGCTCTCCTGCTTGTGTGGGTGACTGCTCGGCAGTCCTTCCTGTTGAGAATGACATGAGTGCCTTGGGGGACCATCACGAGGCCCCTTGTGGGCTTACTGGCCACAGTGACAGGCCCTGCCCGGCTGGCCCTGGCGGTCATCATGGCCAGGCGGAGCCCCGACCTCTGGGTGACACTTCCCCCCCACACGCTGCTTCTCCCAGGGCCACCGGTAGCCACACGTGGCAACTTCGGTCCCCAGCTCTCTCACTCTGACTCTCCTTCCTGTCTGCACAGAGGAGAAGTGCTGCCGGGAGACGTACATCGGCGACGCACCGGAGCTGGACCTGTCCCCTGCTGGCGGCGGCGGCCAGCACCCCTCCTGCCTCTCGCTCCTGTCCGCCGGCAGCCGCGGCAGCTCCCACGGGCTGGGCGTGGAACCCGGGGAGATGTCGGTGGACCCACCCTCGGGGGCCGAGGCACTCCGCGAGAACAGGGCGTCCCGCAGCCTCAGCCTGAGCAGTGGGGACACCCGGGACTCGGGGAACGGTGAGTGCAGCCACCCGCCCCATCACCAAGGTCCAGGTGCCACCCCAAGGGAGGCAGCCTGACCCGGGGCTCAAAGATGGGGGCCCGCGGGCGGTGGGCAGGGCCTCCCCGCAGCTGACCCCGGGAGCCTCCAGCCCTGTCTCAGGGTCCCTGGGGCAGAGTTGCAGCCTGGGGTGCGCGGCCGTCCCAGGGTGCTGACGCTGCCCCCCACGCCCTCTCCCTTCCTTTCAGCCTCTCGCCCCCAGGAGCCCTGGGCGGTGGTGCAGGTCACACTGGTCAAGGTGAGGGGCCGGAGTGCTGAGGCTCTGCGCCAGGTACCCCCACTTCTCCCATCCCTTCCAGTTGGGGCCCAGCCTCCTCCTGGAGGATGGCAGTGGGCGGGCAGAGGAGGGCAGTGGGGGGACGGTGAGGCTCTCCCGACACCAGGTGGGTGCGGGCCAGTTCTCCTCGGCCTCAGACTCTGAGTGAGCCCCTGGCCTGCAGCTTGGGCATCCCTCCTGGCACGTACTCAGTGCTCACGGTGGGGCAGGCACTTGCCGAGCTATGCCGGGCCCCCCGGGCTGTGGGTGCACAGGATGCAGGGCTGGGGGGCAGCACCCCCAGGAGCAGGGAGGGGGCCAAAGCTTGTGGCTCTAGGGAGCCCAGCCAGAGGACAGAGGCCCCGGGCCCCGGCCGGGCTGGACGCCAACCCAGGAGCGATGCCTCTGGAGGAAGGAGGGTCGGGGCCCCTGTGGCTGGAGGCTCCCGGCCCAGGGTCTCTGCTCAGACGTCGCCATACTGAGTGGGGGGCCCCCCTGCGGCGGCCCCCCCTCGAGGGCCCTGCGGCTGGGACTCGTTCATTTAGGGGCACTTGGCAGAACCCTACCCTGGACACAAGCAAGGCCAGCTCAGTGCCGGGGCCTGGACACGTTTCCTCACGTGTGAGGCGGGGTCGTTCTTGATTTCTGAGAAGCTTCTAGATCTCGTTCCTAAAATCCATCAAATTTCTCTAGTAACAACCCAGGTCAAAGGAGTTTAAAAAAAACTCCAGCTGGGGCCTCGGCCCCTTGAACAGGGCTGGGTGGCAGGTTCCCCACAGAGACACGCACTCCCGCCTGTAGGGGTCCCTCAGTGACGGACATGGCCAAGAGGAGTGGGCGGGGCACGCAGGGAGCCCCGCCCAGCAGGGACGGGCCGTCTGGGGCAGGGGGGCGGCTCTGGCCTCCCTGCTGGGAGGCAGCAGGGCCAGCGGTGAGGGGACGATGCAGATGGCCACGCGGGCATCCCCAGCGGGGACAGCAAGCAAAGGGGGCCCGAGGCCAGGCGTGCAGGGGCTGCCGGGGGTCAGCATCAGACGCGGACGGGTCAGCGGAGGGCAGCCTGCGGGGCTCTGTTGTGACCGAGACAGCGCAGAGGAAGCGACTGCAGGACACACCTCGGTCTCTCCCCGCAGGTCCCTGAGGCGACCCCGGGCCGTGTGCACTCAGACCAGCACAGCGGCAGCCTGGGTGAGGTGCGTCCGCCCGATGCCGTGCGCCCCGTGCCGGCCCCACGCCGCCGCCCCCCTGGTGCGGGGCTGGACCCCGGGCCCTCAGCCCTCGACGAAAGCGGGTCCAGGCACCTCCTCTGCCCGGACCCTCCTGGGGAGGACCAGCCCCCGGAGGAGTTTGTGGTATAGGCCATCTCGGCTCGGTCCTCTGCGGGGTCCGTCCACACTGCACAGCTGTACACACACACGGGCCCCTCCCACAGGGTCCGTCCAGGCCCCGTAGCTCCACCCATGTGGGGCTCGGGCTCCGCCCCCTCTGCCCCAGGTACCTCTCCCAGCCTCACCTGTCAGAGGTGTGAAACTCCTAGGTCAGGGCCTGAGGTGAAGGGCAGGTCCCTCTCTCCTTGGGGACCCGGCCGGCTGAGGACAGAGACCCCTGAGTCCCGGCCACCCCGTCTGCGTGAATGGGCAGCAGGCACACAGGCCTCCTGGGAGGCCTCCCGGGCACAGTCCCTGCCCCGCCCCAGGCTTCCCTGGGCCGCCCTCTGTGGCTCCTGCTGCTCAGGGCCCTGGGCCTGCAGATGAAGCCCCCCTGTGACCGGTGGCCCTGCTCCATCACCCCAGGCCCCAGAGGCGGTCGTCCCGTTGACCATCCATTCCAGTGCCCTGCCACTCCACACTGTGGACACCTGGTCCCCACAGGGCCCCCGAGGTCCCCAGCGGGAAGCTGACACACACGTCAGATCCCCAAATGTGCTCAGCTCTGGGGAGACGGGATGGAGCTCTTCCCCCAACCCGGTGCCCATTCTGGCCCCAGGGCTGTGGGCTGCAGCGTCCACTGAGCTCCTGGCCCAGGTCGGCCCTGGCCCCCTCCAGGGCCACTGCCACTGGCTGAGCCCAGTTCCCATCAGCAGGTTGGGTCTCACCTGCCAGACCCAGCTCACCTGGCCCTCCAGGCTGGGGCCCGATGCCGGCCCACAGCTCCTGCACGTGGGATTCCCGGGAAGTATGTCTCTAAGGGGCCTAAGGGGCCGCTGGCCCTTGCTCAGGCCTCGCGAGCAGAGAGTGGGGCTGCAGGCTCAGCACTTGTGTGGTTCTCGCTGGGCCCGAGTGGTCAGTGGCCCCGTGACGGTGCCCACAGACCGAGAGTGCTGGCCGTGGTGAGGACTGCTGCCCTTCACAGTCAGGGTGGCTTGTCAGCTGAGGCCTGCCCCCCATCCCCCGACCTCCAAGGCCCTGCTTGCAGTGGCCTTCCTGGGAGCCCCCAGCCACCTGGATGCGCAGAGCTGCTGGGCTGGGTCCCACTGGTGGAGGGAGCCGACCTTAGCAGAGTGGCAGTCTGTGTCCCTGCACAGAAGGGTGGGACCAGTGCCCAGGTTCCCCCACCTCACAGGGCCCCTGGGCTCCAGCCAGCCTTCCAGAGGCTCCAGAGGGGCTGCTTGGTGACGGGCGGGGCTGATGGGGGGCACTCCTCCCAGCCCGAGGCCTGTCCCAGCACCAGGGCGTGGGGTGGCTTGATCCACCCACGGGCCCCTCAGGCCTCTCTCCACGCTCCGGGCCTGCACACGCACACCTGCCATCCTGCCTGCACCTGGCCGTCAGGTAGTCCCCGGTGTCCGCTAGTCACTGTTGACCCCGCTCCCACCCAGCCCTGCCCCGCGGTGCCTCGTCCCCCGGCTGCTGCCTGCTCTGTGCACCTCGGAGGTGGAGGGTGGGGCTCCAGGGCTTTCTGGGGAAGGACGCGAGTGTCCACGTCAGGTGTGCGTGCAGACAGCCCCGCAGACCTGGGGGTTTTCTCCAGCTGGTCGGTGAGAGTGATGGGGGGGCTCCCCCGCTTTTCATGGCTGCGGCTTTTCATGCGGAGAAGCGCAACTTACACGGCTGCTCTGGGTGGGAAAGTGCAGAATCGTACATGCCTTTTATGAAGAGAAGTGAATTTGCCACATTCAGTGAGGAGGTCACTGCTGACTTTCCCTTCCAAAGTGCAGTGTGCTCACCGATGCACAGAATTCACTTCCGACCCAGATGGCGGCTCTTTTCCAGACCGACAAAGTGGCTGAGCGTTTTCACCAAATGCAACTGAATCTGGGATTCTAGCACCTTGTCATGTGGGGGACTTTTATTTCACTTTGCTGCTTTAAAATTCAGTGCAGAGAAGTGACTGACTGTAGGGGAAGTGAAGTTAATTCACACCTTGAAGGAAAAAAGACCTGAGCGTGCGCACCTGCGTTCGCCGCCCCCCCCCCACCGCCAGCTGGTGCCCACCCCCGTGTCAGGGAAGGGCCTGGGCGGAGGATGCGGAGGGAGGTGGGCACCCGTGTCCACCGGGCCTCTCACAGGGACTGGAGGGCTCACCTTCCAGCCGCCCTGCGGCTTCTGGCCGTGCGTCCCACCTGCCACAAGAGGGCACTGGCGGCCCAATACGGTGCCCGGGGCCCGGCTGCTCAGGGCCGTGTGGCTGGTTCCCCACCGCCCCGTCCACAGGTCGGAGCTTTGCCTGCAGGCTGCTCCCCCACATGCCCCCGTCCCCACCACCCCTGGTCCAGCCCACCCCTGCCATGAAGTTGCCCAGCACCAGGGGCCGTGGGAGGCCAGGGTGGTGCCGTGTGCTCAGCAGGCAGGAGGAGCAGGGACCACTGGCCGACCCTGGGAAACAGCCGCGGGCCCCTATTCCCGTCCTTCCCCTGGGCCGTGACGATGCACCTGGGAAGCCGTGGCAAGTGTCCGCTCTCTGCTGGCGCCGTCTGGTGTTCAGGGGAATGCGAGACAGCTGGGCAAGGGGGGCCTTGGCTGTGGTCCCCAACCCTGCCGGTGTGGCCTCCCTGCTGTCCCCACCCAGCCAGGCTCCCAGGGAGGAGGGGCCACACCTTGGGGAAGTCAGAAGGACACTTTTCCTCCAGTGTCGGTGACACCAGAGGCCTGGGAGACACAGCAGGCATTTCCAGGAAACCAGGTCCAAGGTAAGGGCTGTGGGTGGCTGCTCCGTGACAAGGGCTGTGGCCCCAGCGGTGGGTGTTCTGGGCAGAGCCCCCCACGTCTCCCTCATACCGTCAGAGCAGCAGGAAGGCCACCCGGGTCCCTGTGGACCCAAGGAGCAGGCCATGGCTCAGGCAAGGGCAGGCCAAAACAGCCACCTGCCCCCCCCAAGCCTGCCTGGCCTGCGGTGGGCTGAGGTCAGAGGTCAAGCCACTGGGTCTAGAGCACAGGTGGAAGCTCAAGGCCCTCCAGCTGCACCCGGCCCTGCACCTGCTTCTACCCAGTGGCAGCGCTGAGCTCCTGGCCCCTGGTTAAGTAGTTACGTTTATACAGTCCAAATGTTCCATTCGGCCCCTTGAAGGCGCCATGAGGCTGAGGTGGCCCCGGGTGACAGTGAGTCTGACACCCACTCCTGGGCCCACCACCAGGCTTCCCGAGGCCTGGGGACACTGCTGTGGCCACTGTCCTGCTGGGACATGAGACTGAACGAGGGGGCCCAATGGGAGTTCTGTCGGGGAGGCTGCTGGGACGACCTGGTGGGAGGGCCTGTCACCCCCAGGACGCTCCCGGAGCCTCAGTCACGGGCCAGGGGGAGCAGAGTGTGCCTTGGACACGTCGCCTCCTTTTGAGAGCTCGCTGGGTCTGCAGCCGTCCTCCAGGGCCCCGGGGCAGACCTCGCCCCAGCCCCGCAGCTGGGGTGTCCCCTCGTCCCGCCAGGCAGGAGCAGAGTGACCAGAGACCCGGGAGGACTATGCTGGGGGCCACACCCCTGTGCACAGAGTGCCCGGCCGTCCCCCCCTGAAACCACCAGCTACGTGGGACCGAGCGGGTTCCTCTCCCGGCAGCAAGCGTTCTTTTGTTTGCTACACACTCAAGGACCCTCGATTTGAAAAGATTTTGTCAGGAAATCAAGTTTATAAAAGTTGATTTATTTCCCCAATTTAACGAATGAGCTGGGGCAGCGGACCGGAGCTTCTGACCTGCAGGAGACTGTGCACGTCTGGTGGCCTCTGTCCCCGGCCTGGGGCCCTCTGGGCTGTCGGACGCTACATGCAGCTGGCGAGTAGCCAGAACGCCCCTCCCCTCCCCGAGCCGGCCCCGCTCTGAGGGGCCCTGCCCCGAGGGTGCTGATGAGGGAGGGGCCCCCTCGCGGACCTCCGTCCGTGTGAGCCCACCGAGAGCGAACTGGACCTGGGGACGTGGGCTTCTGGAGCACATTTACCCGGCACGAGGGGCCTGCTCCCTCCCATGGCGACTCACCGCTGTGCTCTGGACGACAGACAGACGACGGACAGACAGACACAGCGGGAAACAGGTGCCCCGACAGGGCTCACCCAGTGGCCACCGGCCTGTGACTCACCCCTATTTTCCTGTGTCTAATGTGCACTTTTTCACCCAAGTTTTTGAGGGAAAAGCAAGGATACACATTATATACGTGGGTAGTACTAATTCCATATCTATATAAAGGTTTTTAGTTCTTTCTAAAAAAGGATTCTATTTATTTTGAGAGAAGGGGAGGGAGGAAGAAAAACATTGACGTGAGAGATACAGCAGTTGGTTGTCTCTTGCACGCCCCCAACTGGGGACCTGGCCATTACCCAGGCACATGCCCTGAGTGGGAATCGAACCAGCAACACTTTGGTTTGCAGGCCGGTGCTCAGTCCACTGAGCCATGCCAGCTGGGGCCATGTTTTTAATTCTTTTATTTATGCTTATATATTAAAAGTCTAACTCTAGAAAGCAGTAATATCTGTATGCAAAATAATAGCCTGGAATATATCATTGGATTTGTTTCTAAATGTAAATAAATAAGTAAACAAATAATGTAAATAAAATTAAAACCAGAGTGTTTTCCTGGCAGTCTGGGACAGAACCGTGGGTGTGCATCACACGCAACAAGACACGGTGACCTCTCCGCGGTCTGGTCCGCAGTGCGGGGGCCGCACCGTGCCGTCCACTCTCTCAGAGACGGACCCGGGGACTGCTTGCTGGTTTCCACTGTGGTTTTAAGAGACGATTCCAAAGCACCTTGAAGACGGTGCGACCCCTGCAAACACACGCGGGGCCGAGTCACTGAAGGAAGGGGCTGGTCCTGCGACTCGGGTCAGCGTGCGGCCTGGGCGCGGAGAGGCTGGTGAAGGACATGCAGGTGAGTGGGGACACCCCCTCCTCCCTCCACGGTGGTCGGCACCTCGTGCCTGACCCCGGGCGTCACTGCGCCACTGTCTTTGGCCAGAAGGTCAAAAATGTCGTCGTAAATTTTCCTGAGCGAAATACCAACCTCCTTTGAAATCAGCCTGGGGGTGGGGGGGGATCACCTGAGACCAAACCATCAGAGGACTGCACACACCGACTCAGAAGGCGGCAGACGGTCAGCTCCCCGTCCGACGGGCTCACTCGTGCCGCTGGGAAGCTCTCCGGGCCCACGAGCACCAGCCTGGTTACCACCACGCTCATGCAGGAGGAAGAGAAAAAGACCCTCGAACTGGCGGGCGAGGGCCGTCTTGGGAAGTCGCTGCACCTGAGCTGTACTGAGCCGGCTTGTGTATCCCCCACCCCAGCCTCCCCCGCAGCTCCCACCGCCCAGTCCACCCCGGGTCCTGACCACAGTGACTGGGAAGCTGGAGGACTCAGCCACCCCTCCCAAGGCCTGGGCACCGTGCCGCCGAAGCCGGGGCGGAGGCGGCAGGACGGCGGCAGGACGGCGGCACTCTGCCAGCCACACGGCGCTTCAGCAAGACTAGTCCCCAGCCCTTGACTCATCCCACCGAGGGCTCCACTCCGCCCCTGGCTCCTAAACCAGCCACGTCTCATTCTGGTTTGCCCCTTAACGAGCTCTGTGCTGACTGCGGAGTCTAAAAACAGGGAGACCACGCCCTTAGGGCGAACCTCAGAGCCCAAGCCCAGGGCAGGGCAACCACAACCAGCCTCCTGCCCCCTTCCTCCCCCTCCCGACTCTCCCTTTGACCCCCTCCCCCCGCACCTCCTGCCACCGTGCCCCTGGGGTAGCGTCGTGCCCACACCAGGGTCCCAGAAGCACAGGAAGCCCCTCGGCTGCAGTGTCATCTGTGCCTGAGGGAAGCAGCCTGGTGTGTCCCCCCTCAAGCGTGGATGGAGGTCGAGGCTCCAGGGTCACCAGAGCTAAGAACAAAAGCTGCGATTAACGTCCTCTTGTGACAAAGGACTAAGATGAAAGGAAAAATAAGTTAAAGTCTCCAGTAAAAGTAACTGTCATCAAGGACCTCGTGGTCCATGATCCTCAGTGTCGGGGCTGCAGGGAGTCCCCGAGGACAGCCACTCCCTGGCAGTGACCTCCGAGCACGCCGACCCTGGTGTCCAAGGCCCCTCCCCGCCGGCCCGCGGCCTCCAGCCCCAAGGAGCCGAGTGTCAGGGACTCATGCCAGGTGCTCTGCATCGCCGTCCGCTGGGCCCCAGAGGACAAGCAGGCAGGGACGCCAGTGTCACAGGGTGGGCGGGCTCCTCAGGTCCCCGCCCCCAGGCCCCGCACGGCGGGTCTCCTTGCCCCCCCACAGCCAGGCAGGCACCTGAAGAGTTCCTCCTGGGCTCTGAGATGCTTCAAAGAGGAGCCCTTCCCACTCCTGCGTTTCCCATCGCAGGCTCTTCCAGAAGGACAGCAGGGCCTGGGCCTCTAGGCAGACGCTCCTGGGGGTGGCAGTCGCTGAGCCGGCACCATGCTGACGGGGGCCCTGCTCATCGGCACCCCCATGCCCTGCCCGCTGTGACTGCGCCGCCGCCGTGCTGGGCCGGCCGGGCAGGAGCCGAGGCGGGCACGCAGGCCCATCTGCTCCCACCACACTGAGCCTCCAAAGCACCAAAGTCGGGCGCCCGGGCGCAGACCTGTTCAGGGTGCTGCTGAGGAGGAGGTGCTGGGCCTGCTGCCAGGACACCAGCAGGGCGCTCCCATCCCCAAAGGGACACGTCCCTCCGTGTGGTGCTCATGTCCTTAACAGACCCTCGGAAAGTTCTGGAACGTGAAAAGAATCCTGGAGAATTAAAAAGCAGCCAGCCCCCTTCTGCAACCAGCACGCAGGCAGCCACAGAGACGCCTGCAGCTCGTGCCCCTCTGCTGGGGGGGGACGCCCCCCGCCCCGGCCCCGTCCACGGGTTGGCGCTGGGCTCCGCGTCTGCGTGGGAGAAATGCTCAGGGGGGCACTCGTCTCTGAACTGCGCTCGCCGGGACCCCACCGGGCCGCACACTCGGGAGGCAAGGGGGGAACGAGGCACCGGCAGAGGAGACGAAGGTGGACTTCGCCGCCCCAGCGCAGCAACGTGCGCAGACGGCCCCCTCCAACTTCCGACAGTCAGTTCCCGTTTTCAGCGGTAAACGGGGAATTCTGTTACTTTTCGAGTTAGCAGAGGACGAGAGAGAGGACGCATTTCCTCTGCTGTGAGAATGTTAAGAAGCAGAAGCCAAGTTGTAAGTGTTTGCGAAGCAGAGAGAAAAGCCGCAGGCAAGAGAAAGGAAAGGCCACCGCGTGGTCACACCGGAGCCCCTCAGCCCGCTGCAGGGGCCCGACATCACCAGCGTCCGGCCTGCCCTCCCGGGGCCACGCAGGGTGGCGTTTCATTCCCACTCAGGCTCTGCGCGCGTCCCCTCCCCAGGCCCTGGTTGGCCCCGTGGAGCAGAACCGCTGAGGGACTGACTGGGCGGCAGCTCCGAGGGCCCAGTGGGCGGCCACGCAGGGACGAAGCTGAGGCGGAGGGGGCGCAGCTGTTCCAACCCCCAACCTCAGGACTGGGAGGTGACGGAGGATTGAGGCCAGACAACCAAGTGCACAAAATAAACACTCGGCAGACGAATGTGCTTGGACTTTAGACTGTTTCCTGAAATACAGGCTGCATGTGGCTGTACCAAGCTGACCCGAGTCACCGGGAGCAGCAGGAGGACCTGTGACCTCACAGCGCCCCCCACGGGCTGCCCTGTGCACCGAGGCGCCGAGGAGCAGCCCTCCCGTGCTTTAACTTCTCGCGCCGACCAATCAAAGTACGAAGCAGGAACAGGTGAGGAGCCCACGTGGCTCCCACGGAGGAGGGCCTGCCCTGTGCCACGGCCTGGGAAGCTGGCCTCTCATGCATGTCGCTGTCCTGTTTGGCGGCTGTTACACACCCCAACTGCCTCACTGTTGTCACACTTCAAAGTCACAGAAATTCCTTAACCTCGTCCCTGCCAAGGCCAAAGTCCACACCCCTCCGGTCCTCAAACAGCCGACCTGCCTTGTCAGCCATTCAAAACCACGACCCAGCCCAGCACGCACAGTCAGCCACTTGGACGTTTGGGCCTCCTGCAGCTCCAAACCCAGGGCGGACGGCAGCCTTTCCCCAAGAGTCTGTGAAAACATCCGAGTAAGAAACACCATGGTCTCCTAGCCGCGTTAGCAGGACACAGGCCTGCCCCCAACCCCCACTGCCTCCCGCCGGCTGCTCCACCTGCGTCCGGCCATTGTTCCCAGAGGAAGAGAGCAGCTGGGGGGGTGGGCGTGGGGGCGGCCAGGCGGCGCCCGGGGACAGGGAAACGCCGACTCAGTGACCAGCTGAGAGGGGCAGTTCCAACAGTTCCTGCTCCACACGCAACCACGCCGTCCACACAGACAACAGGGGCTGGACCAGGCGATGGGAGAGGGTCCCACACAGGGCGGGACACAGGGAAGCGAGAGCCCCGGCCACAACCTCAGGGGGCGTGTCCAAGCTCCCAAAGGCAGACCTTTTACAAGCAGGTGACGCAGACGTCGTTGTGCCCAGGGGCCCCCATGCCAGGTGCCAGTCAGGCCTGGTGCCTCGGAAGCCCGGGCATCCATCATGAAAGGCCTGAGCACAGCAGGCAGGGATGAGACCGGCCGGCCGGCTGTGACCCAGGCAGTGAGGCGACCCAGGTCAGCGAGCAGGCCCTGCTTCACCCCAGGGTGGCCACTGCCCCCTGAGCCCCGGAAAGACCTGCGTGTGCCCCGCTTTAGCTCGGCTTCCGAGGAACAAGTCTCATTCTCGGGGTGGGGGGGGCACTCACTGGGAGTCTATTTCCCCAGTGAGTGCAACTGAGCACCTACTGTGCTCCAGAGATGGCTTCCAGAGACACATGTCCTGGGCGACGGCAGCAGCGTCGTCCTCTACGGCAGAAACGGCTCCCACGCTCTTCACTCCCAAACTCTGAAGACGACACAGGACGCGGGCCCCACTCCCACAGGGGTGAGGGTGCTGACCCCATCACTGGGGCAGAAGCCCAGGTCGTGGTCTGGCCGCCAGCCTCCGGGCCTTGCTTGCTCCCTCCCGGTGGCAGGGCCTCGTGGCCCTCTGATGTCCTGCCAGAAGACGACCGAGGTGCCCCAGAGGAGCTGCGCAGAGACACACCCCTGAGTGTTTCTCCCACGTCTCCCAAGGCTGGGGCTTTAGCCGTAAAGACAAACAAACGGAAAATGCTAAGGTTCGCAATGTCTCACCCAAAAGCTCAAGGGACACCATATAAGGAGCCTAAAAAGCCACAAAAACAAGCCGGGACCCGACTGACCCCAGGGCCCTTCAGAAAGCCACCGCAGCCTCTGAGAGGACTCCAGGGGCCATGGCCAGTTTCTGCAAACGTGGCTTCTTTCCTGGCCGCCCCAGGCAAGGCCTCCTAGCGTGCTACAATTGCTTTTGCAGACCAATTCTGCAAAATTGGTCTGTTTGAGAAATGAAATCTTGATTCTAGAAAAGCCCCCTCAGTCCCAGAATCTGATCAGCCTTTCTCCCCCTCTCCCCGCCCCCCACACTGCCCGAGCCTCGGAACCTCCCTCTGTGGGGCCCTCACTCCGG